AGACAGGACAAACCTGCCAAGATTTGAAAATCCAATCGTGCTTGTCCAACTTCAAGAGATGACCTACAGTTCCTGCAAGACATTTATGTACCGCCTCCAATGTCTCCTTTGCAAGAGAAGGACAGACAGGAAAAACCTGCCAAGATTTCACCATCCCATCGTGCTTGTCCAACTTCACGTGATTACCTACAGTTCCTGCAAGACATTTATGTACCGCCACCAATGTCTCCTTTGCACGAGGAGGACAGACAGGAAAAACTGCCAAGATTTCACCATCTCATCGGGCTTGGCCACCTTCAAGTGATGACCTACAGTTCCTGCAAGACCTCTATGTATCGCCTCCAATGTCTCCTCTGCACGAGGAAGACAGACAGGACAATCCTGCAAAGATTTCAAAATCCCATCGTGCTTCTCCAACTTCAAGAGATGACTTACAGTTCCTGCAAGACATTTATGTACCGCCTCCAATGTCTCCTTTGCCCGAAGAGGACAGACAGGAAAATCCTGCCAAGGTTTCTGAATCACATCGGAGTTGTCCACCTTCAAGTGATGACCTACAGTTCCTGCAAGACATTTATGTACCGCCACCAATGTCTCCTTTGCACGAGGAGGACAGACAGGAAAAAACTGCCAAGATTTCACCATCCCATCGTGGTTGGATACCTTCAGGTGATGGCCTACAGTTCCTGCAAGACCTCTATGTATCGCCTCCAATGTCTCCTTTGCACGAGGAGGACAGACAGGACAAACCTGCCAAGATTTCAAAATCCCATCGTGCTTGTCCAACTTTACCTAGAGATGACTTACAGTTCCTGCAAGACATTTATGTTCAAGTTAAATTCAGGGAAAGTGATGACCTACAGTTCCTGCAAGACATCTATGTACCGCCTCCAATGTCTCCTTTGCACGAGGAGGAGAGACAGGAAAAACCTGCCAAGATTTCACCATCCCATCGTGCTTGTCCAACTTCAAGAGATGACCTACAGTTCCTGCAAGACATTTATGTACCGCCTCCAATGTCTCCTTTGCACGAGGAGGAGAGACAGGAAAAACCTGCCAAGATTTCACCATCCCAACGTGCTTGTCCAACTTCACGTGATTACCTACAGTTCCTGCAAGACATTTATGTACCGCCACCAATGTCTCCTTTGCACGAGGAGGACAGACAGGAAAAACCTGCCAAGATTTCACCATCCCATCGTGCTTGGATACTTTCAGGTGATGACCTACAGTTCCTGCAAGACATTTATGTACCGCCTCCAATGTCTCCTTTGCACGAGGAGGACAGACAGGAAAAACCTGCCAAGATTTCACCATCCCAACGTGCTTGTCCAACTTCACGTGATGACCTACAGTTCCTGCAAGACATTTATGTACCGCCTCCAATGTCTCCTTTGCACGAGGAGGAGAGACAGGAAAAACCTGCCAAGATTTCACCATCCCATCGTGGTTGGACACCTTCAGGTGATGGCCTACAGTTCCTGCAAGACCTCTATGTATCGCCACCAATGTCTCCTTTGCACGAGAAGGACAGACAGGAAAAACCTGCCAAGATTTCACCATCCCATCGTGCTTGTCCAACTTCACGTGATGACCTACAGTTCCTGCAAGACATTTATGTACCGCCTCCAATGTCTCCTTTGCACGAGGAGGACAGACAGGAAAAACCTGCCAAGATTTCACCATCCCATCGTGCTTGGCCACCTTCAAGTGATGACTTACAGTTCCTGCAAGACATCTATGTACCGCCACCAATGTCTCCTTTGCACGAGAAGGAGAGACAGGAAAAACCTGCCAAGATTTCACCATCCCATCGTAGTTGGATACCTTCAGGTGATGGCCTACAGTTCCTGCAAGACCTCTATGTATCGCCTCCAATGTCTCCTTTGCACGAGGAAGACAGACAGGACAAACCTGCCAAGATTTCAAAATCCCATCGTGCTTCTCCAACTTCAAGAGATGACTTACAGTTCCTGCAAGACATTTATGTACCGCCTCCAATGTCTCCTTTGCACGAGGAGGACAGACAGGAAAAACCTGCCAAGATTTCACCATCCCATCGGGGTTGTCCACCTTCAAGTGATGACCTACAGTTCCTGCAAGACATTTATGTACCGCCACCAATGTCTCCTTTGCACGAGGAGGACAGACAGGAAAAACCTGCCAAGATTTCACCATCCCATCGTGCTTGTCCAACTTCACGTGATGACCTACAGTTCCTGCAAGACATTTATGTACCGCCTCCAATGTCTCCTTTGCACGAGGAGGAGAGACAGGAAAAACCTGCCAAGATTTCACCATCCCATCGTGCTTGTCCAACTTCATGTGATGACCTACAGTTCCTGCAAGACATTTATGTACCGCCTCCAATGTCTCCTTTGCACGAGGAGGACAGACAGGAAAAACCTGCCAAGATTTCACCATCCCATCGTGCTTGGCCACCTTCAAGTGATGACCTACAGTTCCTGCAAGACATTTATGTACCGCCTTCCAATGTCTCCTTTGCACGAGGAGGAGAGACAGGAAAAACCTGCCAAGATTTCACCATCCCATCGTGGTTGGCCACCTTCAAGTGATGGCCTACAGTTCCTGCAAGACCTCTATGTATCGCCTCCAATGTCTCCTTTGCACGAGGAGGACAGACAGGAAAAACCTGCCAAGATTTCACCATCCCATCGTGCTTGTCCAACTTCACGTGATGACCTACAGTTCCTGCAAGACATTTATGTACCGCCTCCAATGTCTCCTTTGCACGAGGAGGACAGACAAGAAAAACCTGCCAAGATTTCACCATCCCATCGAGGTTGGATACTTTCAGGTGATGACCTACAGTTCCTGCAAGACATTTATGTACCGCCACAAATGTCTCCTTTGCACGAGAAGGAGAGACAGGAAACACCTGCCAAGATTTCACCATCCCATCGTGCTTGTCCAACTTCACGTGATGACCTACAGTTCCTGCAAGACATTTATGTACCGCCTCCAATGTCTCCTTTGCACGAGAAGGAGAGACAGGAAAAACCTGCCAAGATTTCACCATCCCATCGTGCTTGGACAACTTCAGGTGATGACCTACAGTTCCTGCAAGACATTTATGTACCGCCTCCAATGTCTCCTTTGCACGAGGAGGAGAGACAGGAAAAACCTGCCAAGATTTCACCATCCCATCGTGCTTGTCCACCTTCAAGTGATGACCTACAGTTCCTGCAAGACATTTATGTCCCACCTCCAATGTCTCCTTTGCCCGAAGAGGACAGACAGGAAAATCCTGCCAAGGTTTCTGAATCACATCGGGGTTGGCCACCTTCAAGTGATGACCTGGAGCTCTTGCAAGACATTTATGTACCGCCACCAATGTCTACTTTGCACGAGGAGGACAGACAGGCAAAACCTGCCAAGATTTCACCATCCCAACGTGCTTGTCCAACTTCACGTGACAACCTACAGTTCCTGCAAGACATTTATGTACCGCCTCCAATGTCTCATTTGCACGAGTTCAGACAGGAAAAACCTGCCAAGATTTCACCATCCAATCGTGCTTGTCTAACTTCATGTGATTACCTACAGTTCCTGCAAGACATTTCTGTACCGCCTCCTCTACTGTCTCCTTTGCACGAGGAGGAGAGACTGGAAAAACCTGCCAAGATTTCACCATCCCATCGTGCTTGGCCACCTTCAAGTGATGACCTACAGTTCCTGCAAGACATTTATGTACCGCCTTCCAATGTCTCCTTTGCACGAGGAGGAGAGACAGGAAAAACCTGCCAAGATTTCACCATCCCATCGTGTGTGGCCACCTTCAAGTGATGACCTACAGTTCCTGCAAGACCTCTATGTACCGCCTCCAATGTCTCCTTTGCACGAGGAGGTCAGACAGGAAAAACCTGCCAAGATTTCACCATCCCATCGTGCTTGTCCAACTTCACGTGATTACCTACAGTTCCTGCAAGACATTTATGTACCGCCTCCAATGTCTCCTTTGCACGAGGAAGACAGACAAGAAAAACCTGCCAAGATTTCACCATCCCATCGAGGTTGGATACTTTCAGGTGATGACCTACAGTTCCTGCAAGACATTTATGTACCGCCACAAATGTCTCCTTTGCACGAGAAGGAGAGACAGGAAACACCTGCCAAGGTTTCACCATCCCAACGTGCTTGTCCAACTTCACGTGATTACCTACAGTTCATGCAAGACATTCATGTACCGCCTCCAATGTCTCCTTTGCACGAGGAAGGAGAGACAGGAAAAACCTGCCAAGATTTCACCATCGTCGTGTTGGACACCTTCAGGTGATGGCCTACAGTTCCTGCAAGACATTTATGTACCGCCTTCCAATGTCTCCTTTGCACGAGGAGGAGAGACAGGAAAAACCTGCCAACGTTTCTGAATCCCATCGGGTTGGCCACCTTCAAGTGATGACCTACAGTTCCTGCAAGACATTTATGTACCGCCTTCAATGTCTCCTTTGCACGAGAAGGAGAGACAGGAAACACCTGCCAAGGTTTCACCATCCCAACGTGCTTGTCCAACTTCACGTGATTACCTACAGTTCATGCAAGACATTTATGTACCGCCTCCAATATCTCCTTTGCACGATGGCGACAGACAGGAAAATCCGGCCAAGGTTTCTGCATCTCATCGGGCTTGGCTACCTTCAATTGATGACCTACAGTTCCTTCAAGACCTCTGTGTACCGCCACCAATGTCTCCTTTGCACGAGAAGGAGAGACAGGAAAAACCTGACAAGATTTCTACAACTACCACCTCAGCCTCTACATTCAACTTCCAAGCAGCCACCTTCCCGAAGCTTCAGGGAGGAGGAACTATCGCCACTGCACACCATCCTGGTATTGTCTCTACTAGCCAATGGGGACCTAGTTCCCAGTCACCCAGCCACTCAACGAGCCTGACACCGCCGCCTCCATCCCAACCCGCCCAACCAAAGACAAAGCTGATTGGGCAGAGCACAGTAAAAGCTTTGATATCAACAGCCAGAATGACTGCTGGCAATAACCCCCGAGAATTTGTGAGGCTTTTGAAAATTCTTTACAAGGCGAATGGTCTCCCTACCTTCATTATTCCTGAAGAAGTCTTCAACGCTCCAGGTTCAACTCCAACAACTGTGGGACATTTGGGGCTTGACTCTATTTATTTAATTATTAAATTAATGAAAGTAATTACGAAGGACCACCCGCTTTTAAGAAAAGAGGGAAACTAATAAAAAGTGATCATTAGAGACTCCAGGAAGAATCAGTGTCTATGGTTAAATATTAGGAAGTATAATCACTTAACTAATTAATGGGCTGTATAGATAATTAACTTGAATCAAAGCCTCAAACACCTACATTGGGGGGTTATTGCTAGAACTTCATATACGTCTAGGAACTAGTGTGGTTCGTGCACCAGTTCATTGTGTAATAACTAATCTTATGACCAAATTAAAGAAATCTATAGAAGATTATCACCAGTAATTATAAAGACCATTAACATCAGAAATTAATCATTCTAATAAACACGTATTATCTCCAGTGTACATGATCAGTATCCAATTAAATATTAGAATATAGAAGTAATGAATTTTAAAGTAAATAAATGAATACGAAAGGTCTTAGCTTTAAGACGATTTCAATGACATCATTTACGACTCATCCTCGGGATCTCCGGAATTCCTCGTAGAAACACTGGGAGATGAATAACACGGAGTAAGGTAACAGCTCGTGGACTCTTCACATGCGAGCTGTAATTTAAGGGATATTACGTAGCATTGAACTAGGTTACTGAAATATCTATATTCAAGAAAATGGAAAAACAAATTAGTTATGGTACTAACATGGGTTTTGTTAAGGTCGCTCGATCTAACGACAAGCTGCCCCGACATATACAATCTCTAATGATGCATCAAAAGGGAATTATATACTTAGCTAAGGGGTACAGATTATGTTGAAGCTTGCCGAAACCGCGTCCCAACTCTCGCTATGGCGTACACGTGGTTGATAGCTTGGCTTGAATGTCGACTCGTTATTAGTTGGCCGGTCACTTCAGATCACGTAGAACAATATTAACTAGTTCTATGTTGAGTACCAGGGTAATTCTTGCTGATAACTTCAACGTCACGTGTCCCAGACTCTGACACCAAGACCTTGTTGCTGAATTCCGCAACACGAGACTTCACGCCGCACTCAGGCGTCTCGTCCACACCAACAACAATGGCTTCTCCCCCTCACCCACTAGCGTCCCGCATTCGCCACAGAAATTATTTATCACGAATAATATTATTTCACGCAATTGTGGCTGAAATGCTTTAATAAAGACTGGGTTGTAATTCCAGGGAGTTAATTATTATTACTTTCTCGTCTTACAGTAGTAAACAAGAAATGGAGAAGATTTTAGTTTTCTCCATGGCATTCACGCGTGACGATAAAATTATTACTTGATAATAATTGTAACTAAAAACTCTCGATTTGGAATTATTTGGGAGTTATGTTATCCGTAAATAATTATCACACGGAATACTGATGATTTTAGAGAATCACATTCAATTCTCTAACACACTGGATATAAATGTGTTTAACTAGGTAGAATCTGACGCAATACTGGCGCTTGGTTTCGTAAAAATTCCAGTATTCTTATACAGATATAATAATTAGTTCATGTGAACACTACTGTTAGTAAATTATAGTAACTACAGTAATTAGTATATTTTAATACTAGTTTATAATAATACAATAGTATTGTATTAGTGTTGGAAATTTCCAACAACAACTGACCCTGTAGAGGATGCCGACTCTACATCCGACGACGACGATTCCGCCACTGCAATGCAGACTTCAGATCCTGTTCGGGTACCCACAGCTCACAAGACTCTGCCTCCTGTGACCCCCACTTCTGCAACAGTTCCAGTTACTAACCATGACATCACTGTGAACGCGGCCACGCTTTCAGACATACTGTCGGCTCCTGCTCCACACGCTTCTCCAGCTGCTGCTGTCCCTTCACCCGTCTCAGTGACGAATTCCGCTGCAATCGACCCTTGGTGTGACCCTATAGAGGGTACCTACTATGCAGCCCCTTCTGCTGCAGTACCTACCACTGCTACTCAACCTCCAAGAACTCAACCTTCAAGACATCAACCTTCAAGAACTCTACCCCAGCGTGTCAACACCCCTGCTCTTCACTCATCTGATGAATCGGATGAAGACGTATCTGTTGGAACACCATCACCCCCAAGGAAAGATCACCTCCAAGCATCAACACGAAACGTGACCACCAAGACCGACAAGCCCAAAAAGAAGACCAACGATCAAAGTTTGGTGAAATCAACAAGGAAGAAGACTACTAACGAACTGACTTAACATCAACATCTGACATCAAACCTCCACTGCCAGCTGCTTGCGTTCCCAGCCCCTGTGTGTACTGCAAATGACAAATTCAATTTCCATCTGATCAAGTTCAAATCCGCGGTGGTTGGGCCACCGATGTTTCATCTCCCCTCTTCACCTCATCCCTGGATCCTTGCTCAAGATTTCTGCAGCCTCGCCCCGTTCTTCCATCCCCTACTTGCCAGCTCTATGAACGTTTTCAAGTTTCACCATCCAGTCTCCTGTCTGAGTCTCGTAAGGATGGAAGCTAAAGTGAAGCACAACAGCGGTTCAATTATTCGAGGTTATAGCGCTGCAAACAAGTCGCGTGTTCACAAGGAACAGAAGATGAGGTTCAACTTCTCCCACTCCAAACTCGACACTTTAAGAGATGTTGACATTTGTCACGAGAAGAATCGGAATTAGAAAGATAACGAACGTTGCATTCTGAAGTACGAGAAGCTTGAACGGATTGGAAGGAGTGCACTAGATCGTCTCATGAACTTTAAAACACCGTCTTCTTCATTTAATATGCTACCCGTTCAAAGCCTGTATGTTCCTTCTTCAGTGAACAATATGTTGTTTCAGCGAGGGCTGTATAACCGACCTCTTATCTCATCTGTGAATGAGGGCGATGTCGAGATGTGTTACGAGAGCTTGGAACGGAAGGGACGGAAAGCTGTTGATTGCCTCATGAACTTTACAAATGTAAAAAATTTGCAAAAGAGGCACACTTCCCCGCTGGCCTCCGTGCTCCTATATCCTTCAAATAATATGTTGCCACAGCAAAGCCAGCATGTTCAGTTAAATTCAGGGAATGATGACCTACAGATCATGCAAGACCTCTATATACCACCTCCAATGTCTCCTTTGCACGAGGAGTTCAGACAGAAAAACCCTGCCAATATTTTGCCATCCCATCATGCTTGTCCAACTTCAAGTGATTACCTACAGTTCCTGCAAGACATTTCTGCACCGCCTCCAATGTTTCCTTTGCACGAGGAGGACAGACAGGAAAAACCTGACAAGATTTCACCATCCCAACATGCTTGTCCTACTTCACGTGATTACCTACAGTTCCTTCAAGACATTTATGTACCTTTGTTTTCTTTGCACGAGGAGGACAGAGAAGAAAAACCTGCCAAGATTTCACCATCCCATCGAGGTTGGATACTTTCAGGTGATGAGCTACAGCTCCTGCAAGACATTTATGTACCGCCACCAATGTCTCCTTTGCATAAGGAGGACAGACAAGGAAAACCCTGTCAAGATTTCACCATCCCATCGTGCTTGTCCAACTTCACGTGATGACCTACATTTCCTGCAAGACATCTATGTACCGCTTCCAATGTCTCCTTTGCACGATGGCGACAGACAGGAAAATCCAGCCAAGGTTTTTGCATCTCATCGGGCTTGGCCACCTTCAAGTGATGACTTACAGTTCCTTCAAGATCTCTGTGTACCGCCACCAATGTCTCCTTTGCACGAGAAGGAGAGACAGGAAAAACCTGACAAGATTTCACCATCCCATCTTAGTTGGATACCGTCAGGTGATGGCCTACAGTTCCTGCAAGACCTCTATGTATCGCCTCCAATGTCTCCTTTGCACGAGGAAGACAGACAGGACAATCCTGCCAAGATTTAAAAATCCCATCGTGCTTCTCCAACTTCAAGAGATGACCTACAGTTCCTGCAAGACATTTATGTCCCACCTCCAATGTCTCCTTTGCCCGAAGAGGACAGACAGGAAAATCCTGCCAAGGTTTCTGAATCACATCGGGCTTGGCCACCTTCAAGTGATTACTTACAGTTCCTTCAAGATCTCTGTGTACCGCCACCAATGTCTCCTTTGCACGAGGAGGACAGACAGGAAAAACCTGCCAAGATTTCACCGTCCCAACGTGCTTGTCCAACTTCACGTGACAACCTACAGTTCCTGCAAGACATTTTTGTACCGCCTCCAATGTCTCCTTTGCACGAGGAGGAGAGACTGGAAAAACCTGCCAACGTTTCTGAATCTCATCGGGCGTGGCCACCTTCAAGTGTTGACCTGCAGTTCCTGCAAGACATTTATGCACCGCCTCCAATGTCTCCTTTGCACGAGAAGGAGAGACAGGAAAACCTGCCATCCCATCGTGGTTGGACACGTTCCGGTGACGGCCTACAGTTCCTGCAAGACCTCTATATAACACCTCCAATGTCTCCTTTGCACGAGGAGTTCAGACAGGAAAACCCTGCCAATATTTCACTATCCCATCATGCTTGTCCAACTTCACGTGATTATCTACAGTTCCTGCAAGACATTTCTGTACCGCCTACAATGTCTCCTTTGCACGAGGGCAGACAGGAAAAAACTGCCAAGATTTCTCCATCCCATTGTGCTTGTCCAACTTCACGTGATTACCTACAGTTCCTGCAAGACATTTATGTACCGCCTCCAATGTCTCCTTTGCACGAGGAGGACAGACAAGAAAAACCTGCCAAGATTTCACCATCCCATCGAGGTTGGATACTTTCAGGTGATGACCTACAGTTCCTGCAAGACATTTATGTACCGCCACCAATGTCTCCTTTGCACAAGGAGGACAGACAAGGAAAACCCTGTCAAGATTTCACCATCCCAACGTGCTTGTCCAACTTCACGTGGTTACCTATAGTTCCTGCAAGACATTCATGTACCGCCTCCACTATCTCCTTTGCACGAGAAGGAGAGACAGGAAAAACCTGCCATCCCATCGTGGTTGGACACCTTCAGGTGATGGCCAACAGTTCCTGCAAGACATTTCTGTACCGCCTTCTCCAATGTCTCCTTTGCACGAGGAGGAGAGACAGGAAAAACCTGCCAACGTTTCTGCATCTCATCGGGCATGGCCACCTTCAAGTGTTGACCTGCAGTTCCTGCAAGACATTTATGTACCGCCTTCAATGTCTCCTTTGCACGAGAAGGAGAGACAGGAAACACCTGCCAAGGTTTCACCATCCCAACGTGCTTGTCCAACTTCACGTGATTACCTACAGTTCATGAAAGACATTTATGTACCGCCTCCAATGTCTCCTTTGCACGAGGAGGACAGACAAGAAAAACCTGCCAAGATTTCACCATCCCATCGAGGTTGGATACTTTCAGGTGATGACCTACAGTTCCTGCAAGACATTTATGTACCGCAACCAATGTCTCCTTTGCACAAGGAGGACAGACAAGGAAAACCCTGTCAAGATTTCACCATCCCAACGTGCTTGTCCAACTTCACGTGGTTACCTATAGTTCCTGCAAGACATTCATGTACCGCCTCCACTATCTCCTTTGCACGAGAAGGAGAGACAGGAAAAACCTGCCATCCCATCGTGGTTGGACACCTTCAGGTGATGGCCAACAGTTCCTGCAAGACATTTCTGTACCGCCTTCTCCAATGTCTCCTTTGCACGAGGAGGAGAGACAGGAAAATCCGGCCAAGGTTTCTGCATCTCATCGGGCTTGGCTACCTTCAAGTGATGACCTACAGTTCCTTGAAGACCTCTGTGTACCGCCACCAATGTCTCCTTTGCACGCGAAGGAGAGACAGGAAAAATCTGACAAGATTTCCCCATCCCATCTTAGGGGGGATTAGGGTGGTTTCATAAAAGTTGTTCTAGTGCAATGAAAATTTATTGACGTGTTACATGTAAAAAGGGCTGCAAGTGGTCTAAGTTTCAGCATCGCAGCCTAAATAGAGAGGGAGAAAAAAAAAGTTTTTTTAACCATTTTTTAACATGTTTTAAAGTTGATATAACAAATACAAATATCAACTGATATTATTTCTATGATACTCAGCTATCACAATACTATATAATAAAGGTTGTCTAGTGGCATTATTGTCCCAAACCTATTTAGTGCAATAATACAAATTTTCAAAGTTCACCCAAAAAAGTATGCAACAAAATGATGTTTATAAATATATATAAAATCAATAAATGATCTTAGGGGAAATATATAACCCGGGTTTTTAGAGGCACAGACTCTACATATAATGTGCAAGTTCCATGTAAACTGAATAATAAATAAAAACGTTATTCAACCATATAGTTGCAAATTAGTTACCTGTAAAAAATCAAGGTCAAAGTTCAGCCACCTGTGGCTGAGGTTGATGAACGACCAATTTCAATCAAAATTACCACCCTTGTAGATTGGCATTCCTTCAGTAAGGTGTGTAAGTTCCATGAAGATCGCCTGATAAAAAAAAAAATTATTAAAAAAAAAAAAAAAAAAAAAGACAGCAGCTTTATATTTACAATTATTTATGATGTAGTATCAAGATATAAAAAATAATACATACTAACCTAATATAATTGGTCTGAAATAAGCAACATCTTGCAACATCAAGAGGGAGAACGTCTTGAGTTGCAGGTCTAAGATCTTGAGTGGCAGGTGCCGCAGGTGGTGTGGCAGGTGCCGCAGGTGGTGTGGCAGGTGCAGCAGGAGGTGTGGCAGGTGCCACAGAGGTGTGGCGGGTGCCACAGAGGTGTGGCGGGTGCCACAGGAGGTGTGGGTGCCTGGGAGTGTGAGGGAGTGAGGCGAGGTAGTGTGTTGTGGAGCGGGAGGCTGCCCTCTCTCTTCACTCAAGAGAACTCTTGTTTTGCCTCAGTGTGGCTTCACGCTCCTTCTTTACTTGGCTAACGCGTAGATCTCTTGCCTTTAGAGCTTTCTTCTTGTCCGATACTATATCCATTGTGAAGTATATGCAACAAAATACGATCTGTGAGAGCGCGTCAGGCATACGTCCGCCTGCACAGACACAGAGGGGGTGACTGAGCCAGTAATCATCTTATCGTCCCTCCCTCTCACACAAGACTGTTGCCAATGAGTGTGTTTATAATTTGTATATGAATAACAAGATATTTTAAACTCTATTGCGAAATACTAGACGCTTACAACGTATGACGCATCACCCTACATCGCACCCGAGCCGCGAGGACCAGATTTCGGACAATTGCGGCTAGAAAATTTACTCTAATTACGTTATTTATTATCATAACATTAAACGGTTTGCACCACGGTGTTGCCAGAACGTTGTAGTATTTTTATAAATTTTTCGTGTTTGGCCGAATTTTTTCGGCCAAACAATGATAATGCCCCCTTAGTTGGATACCGTCAGGTGATGGCCTACAGTTCCTGCAAGACCTCTATGTATCGCCTCCAATGTCTCCTTTGCACGAGGAAGACAGACAGGACAATCCTGCCAAGATTTGAAAATCCCATCGTGCTTCTCCAACTTCACGAGATGACTTACAGTTCCTGCAAGACATTTATGTACCACCTCCAAAGTCTCCATTGCACGAGGAGGACAGACAGGAAAACCCTGTCAAGATTTCACCATCCCATCGTGCTTGTCCAACTTCAAGAGATGACCTACAGTTCCTGCAAGACATTTATGTCCCACCTCCAATGTCTCGTTTGCCCGAAGAGGACAGACACTAAAATCCTGCCAAGGTTTCTGAATCACATTGGGGTTGGCCACCTTCAAGTGATGACCTGGAGCTCCTGCAAAACATTTATGTACCGCCACCAATGTCTCCTTTGCACGAGGAGAACAGACAGGAAAAATCTGCCAAGATTTCACCATCCCAACGTGCTTGTCCGACTTCACGTGACTACCTACAGTTCCTGCAAGACATTTCTGTACCGCCTCCTCCAATGTCTCCTTTGCACGAGGAGGAGAGACAGGAAAAACCTGCCAACGTTTCTGCATCTCATCGAGCGTGGCCACCTTCAAGTGATGACCTACAGTTACTTCAAGACCTCTGTATACCGCCACCAATGTCTCCTTTGCACGAGAAGGAGAGACAGGAAAAACGTGACAAGATTTCATCATCCCATCTTAGTTGGATACCGTCAGGTGATGGCCTACAGTTCCTGCAAGACCTCTATGTATCGCCTCCAATATCTCCTTTGCACGAGGAAGACAGACAGAACAATCCTGCCAAGATTTCAAAATCCCATTGTGCTTCTCCAACTTCAAGAGATGATCTACAGTTCCTGCAAGACAAGACCCGCCTCCAATGTCTCCTTTGCCCGAAGAGGACAGACAGGAAAATCCTGCCAAGGTTTCTGAATCACATCAGGGTTGGCCACTTTCAAGTGATGACCTAGAGCTCCTGCAAGACATTTACGTCCCGCCTCCAATTTCTCCTTTGCCCGAAGAGAACAGACAGGAAAATCCTGCCAAGGTTTCACCATCCCAACGTGCTTGTCCAACTTCACGTGATTACCTACAGTTCCTGCAAGACATTTATGTACCGCCTCCAATATCTCCTTTGCAAGATAAGGAGAGACAGGAAAAACCTGCCAAAATTTCACTATCCCATAATGCTTGTCCAACTTCACGTGATTATCTACAGTTTCTGCAAGACATTTCTGTACCGCCTCCTCCAATGTCTTCTTTGCACGAGGAGGAGAGACAGGAAAAACCTGCCAACGTTTCTGCATCTCATCGGGCGTGGCCACCTTCAAGTGTTGACCTGCAGTTCCTGCAACACATTTATGTACAGCTTCCAATGTCTCCTTTGCACGAGAAGGAGAGACAGAAAACACCTGCCAAGTTTCACCATCCCATCGTGGTTGGATACCTTCAGGTGATGGCCTACAGTTTCTGCAAGACTTCTATGTATCGCCTCCAATATCTCTTTTGCACGAGGAGGAGAGACAGGACAAACCTGCCAAGATTTCACCATCCCATCGTGCTTGTCCAACTTCATGTGATGACTTACAGTTCCTGCAAGAATTTATGTACCGCCTCCAATGTCTCCTTTGCACGAGGAGGACAGACAGGAAAACCCTGTCAAGATTTCACCATCCCAACGTGCTTGTCCAACTTCACGTGATAACCTACAGTTCAAGCAAGACATTTATGTACCGCCCCCAATGTCTCCTTTGCACGAGGAGGACAGACAGGACAAACCTGCCTAGATTTCACCATCCCATCGTGCTTGTCAAACTTCAAGAGATGACCTACAGTTCCTGCAAGACATTTATGTCCGCCTTCAATGTCTCCTTTGCCCGAAGAGGACAGATAGGAAAATCCTGTCAAGGTTTCTGAATCTCATAGAGGATGGCCACTTTCAGGTGGCTAATTACGGTAAAGTAAAAGTTGTTCAATTTGTTTATAAATTTATTTATGAAATGCATATAGCAAGGGCTGCAACTGGTCTAAGTTTCATCATCACACCTTAAACAGAAAAGGAGAAAAAAAATACACAACGTATTATGCAACGAATTTTCGACATTTTCAAACAATGTCTGGGAACACGTGTGTCAACTAAAATCATTTCTATAACACTGAGATATTAAAATTAGCATATAATAAAGGATTGAAGATAGCAGTTTTATCAAAAAAGTGTTTAGTGCAATAATATAATTATTCAAAGTTACCCTTCCAAAAATATGCAATATATGATGTTTATAATTTTTTTTTAAATCAACAAATGGACTTTTGACTAAAATGTTTTCATCGGTTTGTAGAAGCCCAAACTCTACATTTAATGTGTAATTTGCATGTAAATTGATTAATAAATGAAAGCTATGACGTACCTTGAAGTTGTAAATTACTTACCTGAGTAAAATAAGATCAAAGTTTGGCCACCTGTAGCTGAGCTTGACGTCTATCGATTTCGTTCATAATTGGCACCCTTGCAGATAGGCATCCGTTGAGCAAGGTGTGCAAGTTCCATGCAAATCCCCAGATAACAAACGAAATAAAAAATTGAAAAAATTGTAAAAAAAAAAATATATATATATATATATATATATATATATATATATATATATATATATATATATATATATATATATATATATATATATATATATATATATATATATATGCGAACAAGCTGAATGGTCCCCAGGACAATATGCAACTGAAAACTCACACCCCAGAAGTGACTCGAACCCATACTCCCAGAAGCAACGCAACTGGTATGTACAAGACGCCTTAATCCACTTGACCATCACGACCGGACATAATGAGGTGATAGCCGAGGCTATTTGAACCACCCCACCGCCGGCACTCGGATAGTAATCTTGGGCATAGCATTTTACCAAATCACCTCATTCTTTGGGGCACACGTGAGGAACACAAATGCGAACAAGCCTGAATGGTCCCCAGGACAATATGCAACTGAAAACTCACACCCCAGAAGTGACTCGAACCCATACTACCAGAAGCAACGCAACTGGTATGTACAAGACGCCTTAATCCACTTGACCATCACGACCGGACATATGTCCGGTCGTGATGGTCAAGTGGATTAAGGCGTCTTGTACATACCAGTTGCGTTGCTTCTGGGAGTATGGGTTCGAGTCACTTCTGGGGTGTGAGTTTTCAGTTGCATATTGTCATGGGGACCAATCAGGCTTGTTCGCATTTGTGTTCCTCACGTGTGCCCCAAAGAATGAGGTGATTTGGTAAAATGCTATGCCCAAGATTACTATCCGAGTGCCGGCGGTGGGGTGGTTCAAATAGCCTCGGCTATCACCTCATTATGTCCGGTCGTGATGGTCAAGTGGATTAAGGCGTCTTGTACATACCAGTTGCGTTGCTTCTGGGAGTATGGGTTCGAGTCACTTCTGGGGTGTGAGTTTTCAGTTGCATATTGTCCTGGGGACCATTCAGGCTTGTTCGCATTTGTGTTCCTCACGTGTGCCCCAAAGAATGAGGTGATTTGGTAAAATGCTATGGCCAAGATTACTATCCGAGTGCCGGCGGTGGGGTGGTTCAAATAGCCTCGGCTATCACCTCATTATGTCCGGAGGTGATGGTCAAGTGGATTAAGGCGTCTTGTACATACCAGTTGCGTTGCTTCTGGGAGTATGGGTTCGAGTCACTTCTGGGGTGTGAGTTTTCAGTTATATATATATATATATATATATATATATATATAATATATATATATATATATATATTATATATATATATATATATATATATATATATATATATATATATATATATATATATATATATATATATATATATATATCCTGCACATACATATTACAATTATTACCAAATATCAAATTATAACACTAAAACATACTAACCTATTGAAATTGGTCCGAATTGTGGATCCTCAAGGTGGCACTGCATTGGGCACTAGTAGGCACTTGCATGATTGCTGGATCACCTTCCTCAGGAGCCTGTCTCGGCTTGTTGTAGGGAGGGAGGTTTAGGAAGGTGTGTGAGGAGGGTCTTGGAGGGTTGAGGAAGGTGTGTGAGGATGGTTGAGGAGGTGTGTGAGGAAGGTTGAGGAGGTGTGTGAGGAAGGTTGAGGAGGGTGTGAGGAAGGTTGAGGTGGTGTGTGAGGAAGGTTGAGGTGTCGGTGCGCCACCATCTCTCACTGGATATTACTCTTATTCGCGCTAAAGCGGCTTTCTTTTACTGATAAAGACGGCGACCGAGTGCCAGATTTGCTACTCTTATCTTCTGGCACTATCTCTTTATAAGAGTTTGTGCAGTAGTCGCAACAATGCGCTATTCCAGGAATGATAATGGAGCGCGCGTCGACACAGTCCGCACTCAATCGGACACACGAGGTGACAGAAGACTGGGACTTCCCTATGGCCCCACCATGGATGAGAAGGTTGCCAATGAGTGTATATTTACTCCTTATGCATACAGAGATATTTACGACGTTATTACGAAAAATTTGATGTTTAGATCGTACGACGCAATACCTTTGGCGCGCCACAGCCGCGGGGGCACCGGATTCTGACCATTTACGCATGGAAATGTACCATAAATACGTCAATTTATATCGTAAAATAATTTTGATTGCACCAGAGTGTGCCAGAACTACGTAGTATTTTCATAAATATTTCACAAGATTACAATTTTTCCCGAATTTTCGTGAAATAAGCCCCCTTCAAGTAATGCCCTACAGTTCCTGCAAGACATTTATGTACCACCTCCAATATCTCCTTTGCACGATGGCGACAGACAGGAAAATCCGGCCAAGGTTTCTGCATCTCATCGGGCTTGGCCACCTTCAAGTGATGACCTACAGTTCCTGCAAGACATTTATGTACCGCCTCCAATGTCTCCTTTGCACGAGGAGGAGAGACAGGAAAAACCTGCCAAGATTTCACCATCTCTTCGTGCTTGTCTACCTTCACGTGATGACCTACAGTTCCTGCAAGACATTTCTGTACCGCCTCCTCCAATGTCTCCTTTGCACGAGGAGGAGAGACAGGAAAAACCTGCCAACGTTTCTGCATCTCATCGTTATATTTTATGTTTATCCGGTTCGATAAGGACCATAATGTGGGACATTTGGGGCTTGACTCTATTTATTTAATTATTAAATTAATGAAAGTAATTACGAAGGACCACCCGCTTTTAAGAAAAGAGGGAAACTAATAAAAAGTGATCATTAGAGACTCCAGGAAGAATCAGTGTCTATGGTTAAATATTAGGAAGTATAATCACTTAACTAATTAATGGGCTGTATAGATAATTAACTTGAATCAAAGCCTCAAACACCTACATTAGGGGGTTATTGCTAGAACTTCATATACGTCTAGGAACTAGTGTGGTTCGTGCACCAGTTCATTGTGTAATAACTAATCTTATGACCAAATTAAAGAAATCTATAGAAGATTATCACCAGTAATTATAAAGATCATTAACATCAGAAATTAATCATTCTAATAAACACGTATTATCTCCAGTGTACATGATCAGCATCCAATTAAATATTAGAATATAGAAGTAATGAATTTTAAAGTAAATAAATGAATACGAAAGGTCTTAGCTTTAAGACGATTTCAATGACATCATTTACGACTCATCCTCGGGATCTCCGGAATTCCTCGTAGAAACACTGGGAGATGAATAACACGGAGTAAGGTAACAGCTCGTGGACTCTTCACATGCGAGCTGTAATTTAAGGGATATTACGTAGCATTGAACTAGGCTACTGAAATATCTATATTCAAGAAAATGGAAAAACAAATTAGTTATGGTACTAACATGGGTTTTGTTAAGGTCGCTCGATCTAACGACAAGCTGCCCCGACATATACAATCTCTAATGATGCATCAAAAGGGAATTATATACTTAGCTAAGGGGTACAGATTATGTTGAAGCTTGCCGAAACCGCATCCCAAGCTCCAACTCTCGCTATGGCGTACACGTGGTTGATAGCTTGGCTTGAATGTCGACTCGTTATTAGTTGGCCGGTCACTGCAGATCACGTAGAACAATATTAACTAGTTCTATGTTGAGTACCAGGGTAATTCTTGCTGATAACTTCAACGTCACGTGTCCCAGACTCTGACACCAGGACCTTGTTGCTCAATTCCGCAACACGAGACTTCACGCCGCACTCAGGCGTCTCGTAAACACCAACAACAATGGCTTCTCCCCCTCACCCACTAGCGTCCCGCATTCGCCACAGAAATTATTTATCACGAATAATATTATTTCACGCAATTGTGGCTGAAATGCTTTAATAAAGACTGGGTTGTAATTCTAGGGAGTTAAATATTATTACTTTCTCGTCTTACAGTAGTAAACAAGAAATGGAGAAGATTTTAGTTTTCTCCATGGCATTCACGCGTGACGGTAAAATTATTACTTGATAACAATTGTAACTAAAAACTCTCGATTTGGAATTATTTGGGAGTTATGTTATCCGTAAATAATTATCACACGGAATACTGATGATTTTAGAGAATCACATTCAATTCTCTAACACACTGGATATAAATGTGTTTAACTAGGTAGAATCTGACGCAATACTGGCGCTTGGTTTCGTAAAAATTCCAGTATTCTTATACAGATATAATAATTAGTTCATGTGAACACTACTGTTAGTAAATTATAGTAACTACAGTAATTAGTATATTTTAATACTAGTTTATAATAATACAATAGTATTGTATTAGTGTTGGAAATTTCCAACAACAACTGACCCTGTAGAGGATGCCGATTCTACATCCGACGACGACGATTCCGCCACTGCAATGCAGACTTCAGATCCTTTTCTGTTACCCTTAGCTCACAAGACTCTGCCTCCTGTGACCCCCACTTCTGCAACAGTTCCAGTTACTAACCATGACATCACTGTGAACGCGGCCACGCTTTCAGACATACTGTCGGCTCCTGCTCCACACGCTTCTCCAGCTGCTTCTGTCCCTTCACCCGTCTCAGTGACGAATTCCGCTGCAATCGACCCTTGGTGTGACCCTATAGAGGGTACCTACTATGCAGCCCCTTCTGCTGCAGTACCTACCACTGCTACTCAACCTCCAAGAACTCAACCTTCAAGACATCAACCTTCAAGAACTCTAACCCAGCGTGTCAACACCCCTGCTCTTCACTCATCTGATGAATCGGATGAAGACGTATCTGTTGGAACACCATCACCCCCAAGGAAAGATCACCTCCAAGCATCAACACGAAACGTGACCACCAAGACCGACAAGCCCAAAAAGAAGACCAACGATCAAAGTTTGGTGAAATCAACAAGGAAGAAGACTACTAACGAACTGACTTAACATCAACATCTGACATCAAACCTCCACTGCCAGCTGCTTGCGTTCCCAGCCCCTGTGTGTACTGCAAATGACACCCTACTCAATTCAACTTCCATCTGATCAAGTTCAAATCCGCGGTGGTTGGGCCACAGATGTTTCATCTCCCCTCTTCACCTCATCCCTGGATCCTTGCTCAAGATTTCTGCAGCCTCGCCCCGTTCTTCCATCCCCTACTTGCCAGCTCTATGAACGTTTTCAAGTTTCACCATCCAGTCTCCTGTCTGAGTCTCGTAAGGATGGAAGCTAAAGTGAAGCACAACAGCGGTTCAATTATTCGAGGTTGTGGCGCTGCAAACAAGTCGCGTGTTCACAAGGAACAGAAGATGAGGTTCAACTTCTCCCACTCCAAACTCGACGCTTTAAGAGATGTCGACATTTGTCAAGAGAAGAATCTGAATTGTAAAGATAACGAACGTTGCATTCTGAAGTACGAGAAGCTTGAACGGATTGGAAGGAGTGCACTAGATCGTCTCATGAACTTTAAAACACCGTCTTCTTCATTTAATATGCTACCCGTTCAAAGCCTGTATGTTCCTTCTTCAGTGAACAATATGTTGTTTCAGCAAGAACTGTATAACCGACCTCTTATCTCATCTGTGAATGAGGGCGATGTCGAGATGTGTTACGAGAGCTTGGAACGGAAGGGACGGAAAGCTGTTGATTGCCTCATGAACTTTACAAATGTAAACAATTTGCAAAAGAGGCACACTTCCCCGCTGGCCTCCGTGCTCCTATATCCTTCAAATAATATGTTGCCACAGCAAAGCCAGCATGTTCAGTTAAATTCAGGGAATGATGACCTACAGTTCCTGCAAGACCTCTATATACCACCTCCAATGTCTCCTTTGCACGAGGAGTTCAGACAGAAAAACCCTGCCAATATTTCACCATCCCATCATGCTTGTCCAACTTCAAGTGATTACCTGCAGTTCCTGCAAGACATTTCTGCACCGCCTCCAATGTCTCCTTTGCACGAGGAGGAGAGACAGGAAAAACCTGCCAAGATTTCACCATCCCAACATGCTTGTCCTACTTCACGTGATGACCTACAGTTCCTTCAAGACATTTATGTACCTTTATTTTCTTTGCACGAGGAGGACAGACAAGAAAAACCTGCCAAGATTTCGCCATCCCATCGAGGTTGGATACTTTCAGGTGATGACCTACAGTTCCTGCAAGACATTTATGTACCGCCACCAATGTCTCCTTTGCACGAGAAGGAGAGACAGGAAAAACCTGCCATCCCATCGTGGTTGGACACCTTCAGGTGATGGCCTACAGTTCCTGCAAGACCTCTATGTATCGCCACCAATGTCTCCTTTGCACGAGAAGGACAGACAGGAAAAACCTGCCAAGATTTCACCATCCCATCGTGCTTGTCCAACTTCACGTGATGACCTACATTTCCTGCAAGACATCTATGTACCGCTTCCAATGTCTCCTTTGCACGATGGCGACAGACAGGAAAATCCGGCCAAGGTTTCTGCATCTCATCGGGCTCGGCCACCTTCACGTGATGACTTACAGTTCCTTCAAGACCTCTGTGTACCGCCACCAATGTCTCCTTTGCACGAGAAGGAGAGACAGGAAAAACCTGAAAAGATTTCACCATCCCATCTTAGTTGGATACCGTCAGGTGATGGCCTACAGTTCCTGCAAGACCTCTATATAACACCTCCAATGTCTCCTTTGCACGAGGAGTTCAGACAGGAAAACCCTGCCAATATTTCACCATTCCATCATGCTTGTCCAACTTCACGTGATTATCTACAGTTCCTGCAAGACATTTCTGTACCGCCTCCAATGTCTCCTTTGCACGAGGACAGACAGGAAAAAACTGCCAAGATTTCTCCATCCCATCGTGCTTGTCCAACTTCACGTGATTACCTACAGTTCCTGCAAGACATTTATGTACCGCCTCCAATGTCTCCTTTGCACGAGGAGGACAGACAGGAAAACCCTGTCAAGATTTCACCATCCCAGCGTGCTTGTCCAATTTCACGTGATAACCTACAGTTCAAGCAAGACATTTATGTACCGCCTCCAATGTCTCCTTTGCACGAGGACAGACAGGAAAAACCTGCCAACGTTTCTGCATCTCATCGTGCTTGTCTAACTTCAAGAGATGACATACAGTTCCTGCAAGACATTTATGTACCACCTCCAAAGTCTCCTTTGCACGAGGAGAACAGACAGGAAAAATCTGCCAAGATTTCACCATCCCAACGTGCTTGTCCGACTTCACGTGACTACCTACAGTTCCTGCAAGACATTTATGTACCGCCTCCAATGTCTCCTTTGCACGAGGAGGAGAGACAGGAAAAACGTGCCAAGATTTCACCATCCCATCGTGCTTGTCCAACTTCACGTGATTACCTACAGTTCCTGCAAGACATTTATGTACTGCCTCCAATGTCTCCTTTGCACGAGGAGGAGAGACAGGAAAACCCTGCCAAGATTTCACCATCTCCATCGTGCTTGTCCAACTGTTGACCTACAGTTCCTGCAAGACATTTATGTACAGCCTCCAATGTTTCCTTTGCACGAGAAGGAGAGACAGGAAAACCCTGTCAAGATTTCACCATCCCAGCGTGCTTGTCCAATTTCACGAGATGACTTACAGTTCCTGCAAGACATTTATGTACTGCCTCCAATGTCTCCTTTGCACGAGGAGGACAGACAGGAAAACCCTGTCAAGATTTCACCATCCCAGCGTGCTTGTCCAATTTCACGTGATAACCTACAGTTCAAGCAAGACATTTATGTACCGCCCCCAATGTCTCCTTTGCACGAGGAGGACAGACAGGACAAACCTGCCTAGATTTCACCATCCCATCGTGCTTGTCCAACTTCAAGAGATGACCAACAGTTCCTGCAAGACATTTATGTCCGCCTCCAATGTCTCCTTTGCCCGAAGAGGACAGATAGGAAAATCCTGCCAAGGTTTCTGAATCACATAGAGGATGGCCACCTTCAGGTGGCTAATTACGGTAAAGTAAAAGTTGTTCAATTTGTTTATAAATTTATTTATGAAATGGTTATAGAAAGGGCTGCAACTGGTCCAAGTTTCATCATCACACCTTAAACAGAAAAGGAGATAACAAATACACAACGTATTATGCAACGAATTTTCAACATTTGCAAACAATGTCAGGGAACACATGTGTCAACTAAAATCATTTCTATAACACTCAGATATTAAAATTAGCATATAATAAAGGATTGATGATAGCAGTTTTATAAAAAAAAGTGTTTAGTGCAATAATATAATTATTCAAAGTTACCCTTCCAAAAATATGCAATATATGATGTTTATAAATTTTTTTAAAATCAACAAATGGACTTTTGACTAAAATGTTTTCATCGGTTTGTAGAAGCACAAACTCTACATATAATGTGTAATTTGCATGTAAATTGATTAATAAATGAAAGCTATGACGTACCTTGAAGTTGTAAATTACTTACCTGAGTAAAATAAGATCAAAGTTTGGCCACCTGTAGCTGAGCTTGACGTCTATCGATTTCGTTCATAATTGGCACCCTTGCAGATACGCATCCGTTGAGCAAGGTGTGCAAGTTCCATGCAAATCCCCAGATAACAAACGAAATACAAATTTGAAAAAAATTGTAAAAAAAAAAAATTATTATATATATATATATATATATATATATATATATATATATATATATATATATATATATATATATATATATATATATATATATATATATATATATATATATATATATATATATATATATATATATATATATCCTGCACATACATATTACAATTATTACCAAATATCAAATTATAACACTAAAACATACTAACCTATTGAAATTGGTCCGAATTGTGGGTCCTCAAGGTGGCACTGCATTTGGCACTAGTAGGCACTTGCATGATTGCTGGATCACCTTCCTCTGGAGCCTGTCTCGGCTTGTTGTAGGGAGGGAGGTCTAGGAAGGTGTGTGAGGAGGGTCTAGGAGGGTTGAGGAAGGTGTGTGAGGAGAGGAGGGTTGAGGAAGGTGTGTGAGGAAGGTTGAGGAGAAGAAGGTTGAGGTTGTGTGTGAGGAAGGTTGAGGTGGTGTGAAGGAAGGTTGAGGTTGAGGAGGGTGTGAGGAAGGTAGAGGTGGTGTGTGAGGAAGGTGTGGAAGGTTGGGAGGGTGTGAGGAGGTAGAGTGTGTGTGAGGAAGGTTGAGGTGGTGTGTGAGGAAGGTTGAGGAGGGTGTGAGGAAGGTTGGTGTGTGAGGAAGGTTGAGGAGGGTGTGAGGAAGGTGTGGTGTGTGAGGAAGGTAGAGGTGGTGTGTGAGGAAGGTTGAGGTGTGAGGAAGGTTGAGGAGGGTGTGAGGAAGGTGTGGTGTGTGAGGAAGGTAGAGGTGGTGTGTGAGGAAGGTTGAGGTTGTGTGTGAGGAAGGTTGAGGAGGGTGTGAGGAAGGTAGAGGTGGTGTGTGAGGAAGGTTGAGGTGGTGTGTGAGGAAGGTTGAGGAGGTGTGTGAGGAAGGTTGAGGTGGTGTGTGAGGAAGGTTGAGGTGGTGTGTGAGGAAGGTTGAGGTGGTGTGTGAGGAAGGTGGAGGAAGGTGAGGAAGGTGAGGTGTGAGGAAGGTGTGAGGTTGAGGTGGTGTGTGAGGAAGGTTGAGGTGGTGTGTGAGGAAGGTTGAGGAGGTGTGTGAGGAAGGTGTGAGGAAGGTGAGGTGGTGTGTGAGGAAGGTTGAGGTGGTGTGTGAGGAAGGTTGAGGTGGTGTGTGAGGAAGGTTGAGGAGGTGTCGGTGCGCCACCATCTCTCACTGGATATTACTCTTATTCGCGCTCAAGCGGCTTTCTTTTACTGATAAAGACGGCGACCGAGTGCCAGATTTGCTGCTCTTATCTTCTGGCACTATCTCTTTATAAGAGTTTGTGCAGTAGATGCAACAATGCGCTATTCCAGGAATGATAATGGAGCGCGCGTCGACACAGT